CTGTTAAATTTATCTAAATTTATACATTTTAAGTCCCTCAATTTTTAATATATGCACATTTTTCATCTCTCAACTTTAAGTTAAGATGAAAAATGTATGAAAAATATATAAATTTAGATAAATTTAACAGATTAAATAATAAAATATTAAAAAATATATTTTTCATAATTAAGAGATAAAAAAAGTGCAAAAAAAATGTTGATAAATGAAAATTATGTAAAATTTTAAAATTAAAGATCAAAATTAATATTTAACTAATTTTAAAATATTTGTTAATATAATAAATTACACAATTTAAATTATTAAATAAAAAAAATTCCCTTCCCTTCTCGTATGTATTTTTTTGCAATTCAAACTCCGACGAATAAATGATAAAATATTGATGCAATAACCTCTATGTTTCACTTTACCAAATTACACAGGCTCCTCGTATTCTAGCTCAACTGGATGGTTCATGGCACTGGATATGGAAGTTACAGTGCGCAAAGAGAATTCGAATCTTTGTATGGCTATTGGTTCGAGGGAGACTATTAACAAACTCAGTGAGATTTGCGCGTCATATGGCTTCTTCACCCACCTACCCAAGGTGTGAGTCTTCAGATGAGACAGTTATTCATCTATTAAGGGATTGCTATTATGCGAACATTGTTTAGGGTTTACTGGGGTTTGCAAGCTCTGAGTTCTTTGCTTTGGACCAATCACTTTGGCTAAGGAAATTCTCAACCTCATCACCCTTACACGATCCAACAAGCGTCTCAGGTACAGCTCTGTTTCTTTCTGCCATCTGGCTTCTCTGGAAGGATAGAAATGCTTTGGTCTTTCGAAATCATCGCACCAAGCCACATGAGCTATGTTCACTGGTGTTTCAACAGGCAAAATATACGGAGCTTGCCATGCATCCTCTGTTTCTAGTAAGGTCTCGGCAGCCTCGTTGGGTGAGTTGGACACCACCTGTTGAGGGATGGCATAAATTGAATATTGATGGGTCATGTTACGTTGCAGAACTTTGGGGTTTGAGGGAAGGGCTCAGGCTTTGCAAATCTCTTGGTATACCGAGGGTTGTAGCAGAAATGGATTCCCAAATGGCTGTTCGCTTCATCAATGAAGATCGGGAGGTAGATAATTTATCTGCAGCTATCTTGTTGGATATTAACGTACTGTTTGGATAGAAAATAGTAAAGGGAAGGGAAGGGAGGGGAACGGAGGAAAATAGAAGGAAAAGGAGGGGAAAGAAAGGAAATGGAAGGGAAGAAAATGGAAGGAGATGATTTGTGTTAATTTTGTTTGGATAAATAAAAATGAAGAAGGGGAAAAGAAGGAAAGGATTATATTTTTTATATTTGGATAATTAAGGTAGAAGGAAGGGAAAGATTTAAATTAATTTTAAATTTATAAATTTATCCTTTAAGATGGAGAAGGACAGTTTATGGTAATATATGAAAAGATTAATTATGTAATTATCTTTAACTTAATCTAAATAATCCCTGCAATCCCTCTCAAACCCCCCAAATCGAAAGGATTGCAAATCTGTAGAGTTGAGGGTAGTTGGAGGGAGTCCGAATCCGTCGATCTCCCTCCCCTTCTGCCTCTTTAAAAACCCAAATAAGAGAAAGGGGACAACCTCCCCTCACTTTCCCTCCCTTATCATCCGTCCCCATCCCTTCCCCTCCAACCTCTAATCCAAACAATACGTAAAAGTTTGATGTTGGAGTTTGAAGCTTGTACAGTGCATCACATCCTAAGGGAAGGGAATGCCGCAGCAGATTACTTGGCTTCCCTTGGTCATTCGTCACAACCGGGTTTAAGTATACTCAATTCCCCACCATGTGGTTTATTGCCTATCCTCTTAGGTGATCAGTTGGGGGCTTGTTTCCTCTGTTCTTAGTTTCTTCTTGGTGTTAGGCCTCGTTTGGTATAGTGGTTTTGGAGTAGCGGTTAGCGGTTTTACCTAAACCGCTAAATATAGGTGTTTGGTAAATTTATATATTTCAAAACCGCT